GATTTGAAGTCTCCTTTCCTAAATATGTGTTTGAAAAAGCTTTACTAACTTGATACACGTCGATTAATGAATAAGCTTAAGCTAAGTATTGTAAATTTTTGTTCGATCATGAACAAAAAAGATCTGTATTCTTTAAAATGTCAACTATGTTAGTGATGAAGACTAAATATTTTATGTTTGTTCCATCATATACCAAGAATATCATTATTCTTTAAAATGCCAGTTATGATATTGATGTAGGTTAAATACATTCCACACTATTGATGGGATTTTACACAGTCTCTTATTTTTTATGCAGCCAACTGGTTTCGAGTTCCGAAAAGGATTTAAACTTTCAGTTTAGATTTGTTGACAGAACTGATTTCTAATCATCAATTAGGTTGTACAGAAGTATTTTAATAACTTTGTAGACCAAATAATTTTATGGAATATTCATATCATAATTATTCATTTTCTAACTGAAGCCGAAAAGGTATCAATCTGTAAAAATGTGAATAAAACCACGTCTTCTTTGGTATTTATTTAGGTGCTATGCTCCTAAACATTTTCGTTATGTTTCTTCTTCATTCAAATTAAAAACAAAGTTAACCAGATAACATATAATAAACCTAGAATCAGTGGCATCATGTTTAAAGTTTTATTGGGTTTTTTTTTCTCACTATTGAATTGGTGACGAATCATTAAACGAAGAACAGGAATGGCGTTTGACATAATAAAATACCTTCTGTCAAAGAAAGAGACGCTTCATCAAACTATGAGCACAGTGACAAACACGAACTCACTCGCGCGCTTGTTCAGTATGGGTTATTCCCGAACAAGCAAGCAAGGTAGGTTGTAACTGCTTTCAAGCGCCATTCGCATTTCTTCGAATGAACGAGAATATTCCAAGATCCCTAAAGCATATATATATATGTTGCTCGTACCATATGATCCAAAAAGGTATTTTTCAGTAAGTGTTCAAAGTCACACTAAACTGAATTTAAAAAGAAAAGAAGAAAAATGTATAAGATATTAAATATTATATCATACATCAACCAAACTTCAACTTCCTTCAAAGTTCTATACATCTATTATTCTTATATAAAACATGATATGATCTACCAGCAACTTGTTATACAAACATACTTATTATTAATTCCTGGTGGTAACTGTGTTCTATTATGTGTTGTAAGATTGTTATTTGTCAAATTATATTTATCACAGAATAGTTTTATTTTAACATAATTAATAATATATATATTTGTAATATTGAAAGCTTAAATCAATACTAGCTGTTTTCTTATTACGACACAACATGCCCCCAAGTGGCACAGCGGTATGCCTGCGGACTTACAACGCTAGAAACCGGGTTTCGATACCCGTGGTGGGCAGAGCACAGATAGCCCATTGTGTAGCTTTGTGCATAAATTCAAACAAACGAACAAACAAACGAAACAACATATTTTCACAAAAGGTTTAAACAAGCTTTTATTTTATTTTTATTTTTAGTTTCGGTTATTAAAGACATACCCCCCAGTGGCACAGCGGTATGTCTGCGGACTTACAACGCTAGAATCCGGGTTTCGATACTCGTGGTGGGCAGAGCACAGATAGCCCATTTTGTAGCTTTGTGCTTAATTACAAACTAAATTAAACACATTGTTGTTGCTACATCATATAAAACTATACATGCAAAAAACATCCTGATATGCCATATTTTGTCTATTTTAAGCGTGGTATATGCTTATCGCCTTGGTAACTTCAGAGAAACGAGAAATTAAATCCTTATCTCATGTGAAATTTACTCGTGTAGCCAAAGCTATGTTATCTTTCTTACTGGTTTTTAAATTAGCATTAAACAGGTATATATATTAGAAATCTCAGTCAGCCAGGACGCTTACTTTAGTTTCCACTTCTGCAGCAGGACCCTTCAGACTTTAGAACGTGACAAAAGCTATGAACCAGAGAACGGAAAGCTTGGTTGTATCGATTTTGGGCGACATTTATCCAACCAGGTTGCTGGAATAATGGAAACTTGTAGCATGCACAGCGCAGCTCACAGCGGGCAGCTTTAGTTGGCTGAGCTGCGTACTTTGGAGAGGTTGTGTCTCTAACGTAAAGCCAACCACAGCTTGAGTTCTGGGGAATGAGTCTAGAATACGACAATCTAGTTTACTTACCGTACCAAGCTTATGGTCTTTATTACGTTTTTTAAAAAATAATCTTAACCAAACGTTAACAACTTTCAGATTACTGACGCTAGTTAAAATAAGAGTATTTTATTTGAGTCTTAAGTGCTTGACCAGCGTTGCTTGTGCAGTTTGAGTGTTTCATCATATCAGATTTAAATGCTAAATATGGCTAATGAAGAAAATATTACAAAATATGTACTAGAGCAATTAGGCCCAAAACGCGCAGCTCTTTCTATGGTCATTCCTATGACTGCAATTTACTCGGTTATCTTGCTTACCGGTGTCATAGGTAACATCTTTACGTGTGTAGTCATTGCAAGAAACAAGTACATGCACACGGCTACTAACTATTATCTTTTCAGCCTGGCAGTTTCTGATGTTTTATTATTGGTTTTGGGCCTACCGCAAGAGATTTACCTTCTTTGGCAGAGTTATCCATATATCTTTGGAGAAAGCTTTTGTATCATCAGAGGTTTGACATCAGAGACTTCAACCAACGCCTCCATCTTGACTATCACGGCCTTTACTGTGGAGCGATATCTGGCAATCTGCCATCCTCTCCGAGCATACCGAATGTCCCAGCTGCCTCGGGCCATTAAAATCATCATTGGTATTTGGGTTGTTGCTGCACTATGCTCTGTTCCCGTCGTCTTCCAGTTCGGTATAGTCTATCAAATGAAGAATAACGACACGCTTATTTCTGAGTCTGCGACGTGTGGTATGAAACGGATGTTACCCTACATCTTCGAAGTGTCTACCTTCCTTTTCTTCTTCCTTCCCATCACAGCCATTTCACTGCTATACATCTTGATTGGGCTCAAGCTGCGGCGCTCTACCATTGGTCGCGTGGAGTCGTCTCCTGAACTAAGTAATTCTCGAGGTAACCACCACTCCTCCAGACGTGCAGTGATAAAAATGCTTGGTAAGAAATAACTCATTCATATGATTAACAGTTGCAGGCCTGAATAATTGTGTTATTTTTAGACGACAGTTTGGGATTAGTTTTGAAAACAAATTGATAAGATATTTTTCGAACGACCTTTCATGTTTGCGAGTTTAACTATGTGTAGACAGAAACAAATTTTTTGATTTAGAGAAATGTAAGCTACCTGCATTCACACAGTTATAGATTTAAGTGTAATGTCAATGAGTGAGTAAATAATTACTTTTTGAATAGGGCTGTAAATAAAGGATTATGTTTAGAACAGACATTACTATTATGTAAATAACATTTATTCACTAATCCAATGTATAATGCTATTCTAATGCTATTTCTAATTTATCAATAAATTTTTATTCACTGAGCGAATCTACATGTACATGAGATTACTTATCAATTAAATGTTATACAAAATCTGTTGCTGTCTGTAATTTAAGGCTTAATTTTTGAAATCAAGCTTTCTCGTCTATTAGTAACATAAATACTTAAATGTAGAATAGCAATATCTAATTACTCAGTAAATAAATACGTGATTAATAAATAACAATGTGTAATTGGTCATTAAATACGAATACCATGACTGACCGTGCATAATACTAATATATAAAAGAAAGGTTAAGTTGAGAGTGAATACATACGTAGTTGTAGAACATGGCCCGGCATGGCCAGGTGGTTAGGGCACTCGACTCGCAATCTGCGGGTCACGGGTTCGAATCTCCGTCACACCAAACATGCTCGCCCTTTCAGCCGTGGGGGCGTTATAATGTGACGGTCAATCCCACTATTCGTTGGTAAAAAAAGTAGCCCAAGAGTTGGCGGTGGGTGGTGATGACTAGCTGCCTTCCCTCTAGTCTTACGCTGCTAAATTAGGGACGGCGAGCGCAGATAGCCCTCGTGTAGCTTTGCGCGAAATTCAAAAACAAACAGTTGTAGAACAGAAATATATAGTCTTCGTTTAATTATTGAGAAGAAATATTTGGTTGATTAGTCAATAAGTACTAAATATGGAATAGATATATGTATTTTGCAGCTTTTACGGTCAATCATAGAAAAGGAATGCCTGATCGGTCAATAAAGACATTTATCATTGGGATAGCTCCGCCTAGGAAATTTTACACATCATAGGAAAAACGTAAATAAATCTTTATGGTAAATTACTATTTGATTAGTTTTTTTTTGTAGTGTAAATCTACACAATAGACTACCTGATACTTG